TTTTGGTGTATATCCCGTATTTATAGAATAGAATAGAATAGAAATAATCTTTATTGAAATAAACTCATTACAAGCACTTTTGAATAGTCATATTTTGATTCTACCACTCATTTGGAATGCAGATTCATCACAAGAAGAATGAGCAAGAAACTTGTGTGTTGCGTTAATAGATGTTTTTTTTATATAAATAATTACAGTATAACAAGTAAGAGGCATGCGATAATCAACATAGAAATCGCTACGCACTCATTATTAGTGTAATCAGATAATATTGTCAGTGCTATGGATTTAAAGTTTTTCTATAAAAACATTATTATCGTTAACGAATTCTTCAATTTTATAGTAAGCTTTTTTGCAAATGAACTGTTTTATTTGACATTTAAATCTTTTTTCAGGCAGATTATATAGATATACGGCTTTCAACATTACAAACAGACACTCCAATTGTTATTCGGATATTTTTATTTATTTATCCAATGTACAGATAAATAAAGATTATTATTAAAATCCTCAAAATTGAATTATTGGTTTTGACATCAACATCATCATCATCATCATCGCAGCCCGGAAGACGTCCACTGCTGAACAAAGACCTCCCCCAAAGATCTCCAAGACGATCGGTCCTGCCCTGCTCACATCCAATGCCTTCCAGCGATCTTGATCAGATCGTCGGTCCACCTTGCTGGAGGCCTTCCCACGCTGCGTCTTCCGGTCCGCGATCACCACTCGAGAACTTTACTGCCCCAACGGCCATCTGTCCTACGAGCTATGTGCCCTGCCCATTGCCTCTTCAATTTTGCAATTTTTTACTTTAATAAAATTAGCTCTCTTTATAATTTATTTATTTATTTTATTTATTTATTTATTTACGTCACACTAAGTGAGCTTTACAGTTTCCCAATATGCCCACTTAGGAAGATTGTATATATATATATATACACACACTTATAAAACACTAGTTACTAATACATACACTAATTACACAAGAAAAAAATAAAATAAAAATAATAACAATAATAATAATCTTACTTTCCCATACTACTTAAATAATCTACTGCCATCCTACGAAACTCCAGCAAATTACTAGTAAATATGTCTAGATCCGGAAAACGACTAACAACACCGTTGAGTAGACTCAATGCCAGAGAAATAGGAGCCTGTTTGGCCAGCTCCGTCCTTCTCCGTGGAACATCAAACAAGTTTCGTCTTCGTGCTTGTACGTAATTATTGGGCGCTCTTATGGATATCGATGTTAATACCGCTTGGTTACATTTTTCACCTCTCATGACTGACTACATATTCCATTAATGCAATCTTCCGTCTTACTTCGAGTGTGTCATATCCCACGATCCCCAACAAAAACATAGTAGGATAATAGGATAATATTAGTTTAGATAAAAACAAGATTGATATTTTTTATTCTACTACCCCCAGAAAGCACTATGTTTTAAACAATTATGCGCGTGAACTGACCACTTGTCTGTGAGGACTTATTATCAGATATCTGATAGGACCCGGGTAGTTAGTTGGTTTTGACAACAAAGACCCAGAACTATTGTCAAATTCCTATTCCTTCTACATTTCTATTTATATTTCTTAGAGAATTACGCGAAAATTAATTTAATTATGTCTAGTTATATATTACTAGCGGATCCGCACGTTGTTATGCCATTCAAATTAAAATGGCTTTTAAAAAACAAGGGTCGATGGTAGAAGTGTGAAATTTTAGGGATGTATGTATTTCTAATGCCACATTATAAAAAAATATTATAACCAAAAATAGAAAAAAAAATATTTGCATTATATTTTTTAGCTTTTTAATTTTAGGTTCTAGTTGTACAATTAAGTTATGTAAATGATATAATTAGTTAATAATTAAAAATATTATATTATATAATTTATTATTTAATATAATATTTTTTATTTTATTTTTATAATTTATTATTAATATACATATATATATATATATTACAAAAGCTTGTGTTGTGGGTACTAGATAACTGGTACAAATACATAGATATTTTTTTTTTCGTAAATACTAATTATACATAGAAAATACCCAGACCGATACAAACAATCATACTCAGGAATACAAATGTTTGTGCCGCCGTGCGAGGAATCGAACCCGCGACCATCGGAAGTAAGGCGGTGTACTACACCACTAGACCACTGAGGTCGTCAAATATATATATTAGAAATAGAATAATGAAGAGAAGAAATTTATAGTCTATGTCTAAGCTATATTACTGTACAGTTTTATCAAAATCTGTTCATTTCTTTTTAGCGTGAAAGAGTAACAAATTTCTATCCATATTAACAAACTTTCGTATTTCTACTATTAGTAAAATGAAGGCCCCAATTTTTGGACTGTGGCTTGTGCTCGTTAATTCGTGTGAAGTGAATTTTTGTGGCAAATATCGTGGTCACATTTTACTTCGAAATGAAAGCAGACAATCTCCCGGTCCCGGCGAGGCTTGTGAGTTTGTTTCGCTGTTCATTTGGGTGGGGACACTGCCAGCCAAATTTAGACACCAAATTTGGTTTTCTGCTGTTTCCTGTTGAATGTTATTCAAGTATTTTGCATATTCCGTGCGGCTCCGATGGTTTAGCGGTTTAGCAGACGGTTTTACTTCAGATTGTTGTGGGTTCTATTCCTTGCACGGTATATATATTTGTATTCATGACTATGATTGTTTGTATCGGACTAGTTATTTTTTATGTATTTATAAAAAAGTATGTTTATATCAGTTGTCTAGTGGGTACTAGGCAACAGATATATATATTTGTAAATACAAACATATTATGAAAAAAAAACACCCAGACCGATACAAACAATCATAGTCATGAATACAAATGTTTTTACCATGTGAGGAATCGAACCCGCAACCATCGGAAGTAACACGGTCTGCTAAACCCCTAAACCACTGAGAACTTTTTTTTTTCCGGACTACTCTAATACTGTTGGCCGCAGCTGGCCTTTACAGCTTCACCGGACGTTAGGGGGCGAGTGCAGATGGCACTCCAAACCCGCGGAAGGTCTTATAGAGCGGCTGACGGCCAACTCCTGCCTGACGGATACGACTTTTTCTGAGGGCACCACTAGGGGTTCGAACCTCGGCTCAGGCCGTCGTAATTTCGATCCCCGTTTGAACTGGACGGGGATCGATCGAAGGGGCCCACCGAGACCGTCAAACTTTAAATTAATTAAAACAGTACATTTAGCTATAAGTAATTTATTTCTGAGTACATATTAATTATAATAATAATAACCTCAGGACAATTCACACAGCGCCATCTAGACCCAAGTTAAGCTAGCTAAAGTTTGTGTTATGGGTACTAGACAACTGATACAAATACATAGATATTTTTTTTCGTATACATAAAAAACACCCAGACCGATACAAACAATCATACTCATGAATACAAATGTTTGTGCCGTGCGAGGAATCGAACCCGCGACCATCGGTAGTAAGGCGGTGTGCTAAACCGCTAGACCACCGAGGCCGTCAAATATATATTAATTATATAGATGGATGCTAATATGATTAAAATAGACATCTTCGAGCTCAGGCTTTATCTAGTATCTAAGGCTGATTTGTATCCGTTTTGTTAATCAAAATATTCCAGATAATTAAGGTCTTATCTCATCTAGACTAGATTTTCTGGCGATCCGCCCAAGGATATTATACTCTACGCTTAATATTTTTATAGTCGGGGTTACCTTGACCTTTTCATGTTTATGAAATCGTTTCAAATTGTATAATGTTTTCGTAAAGCATTTCAAATTATTATATGTATAATAATTGTTTAATACATATATTAGGGGAAAATATATTTTTAGTTGTACTAGCTTTTTTATCTTTATTTTAAACTGAGTTCTTATTTCTTTGTATATCTTATTATTATTACTAGCTGTACCCTAAACTAAAATATTTTTTCTAAAATAAAAGTAGCCTAAGTTACTCCTTATTATATCAGCTACCTGTCAAAAAAGTCCCGTCAAAATCGGTCCAGCCATTTCAGAGATTAGCCGGAACAAACAGACAGAGAAAAATTGTAAAAATTGTATTTTGGTGTATGTACCGTATTTATATTTATATGCATTTAGTAAAAACGGTTAGACAATATTACAAACAGACACTCTAATTTAATTTTATGTATAGATAAACGCGAAAGTTTGTGAATATGGATGTTTGTTACTCTTTCACGTAAAAACTACTGAATGGATTGTAATGAAACTTTGCAGTAATATAGGCTATACATCATAATAAGACGCAGGCTGTAATTTAAAAAGATATTCTGTAAATTGGGCGAAATGTATTGATAAACGTTAAGTAAGTGTGATGTAGTTTTTTTTTTATATAAATAATTACAGTGTAATAAGTAAGAGGCATGCGATAATCAACATAGAAATCGCTACGCACTCATTATTAGTGTAATCAGATAATATTGTCAGTGCTATGGATTTAAAGTTTTTCTATAAAAACATTATTATCGTTAACGAATTCTTCAATTTTGTAGTAAGCTTTTTTACAAAGGAAGTGTTTTATTTGACATTTAAACCTTTTTTCTGGCAGATTATATTTATATGCATGTAGTAAAAAATAGTTATTTCAACATTACAAACAGACACTCCAATTGTTATTCGGATATTTTTATTTGTTTATCCAATGTATAGATAAATAAAGATTATTATTAAAATCCTTAAAATTGAATTATTGGTTTTGACATCATCATCATCATCGCAGCCCGGAAGACGTCCACTGCTGGACAAAGGCCTTTCTCAAAGATCTCCAAGACGATCGGTCCTGCCCTGCTCACATCCAATGCCTTCCAGCGATCAATAATAATATTAGTTTAGATAAAAACAAGATTTTTTTTTTTTTTGGGTGTGGGTAGTCATATGCTCAACACATAATAAAACATTCTCCTGATTATTTATTCATTTTAATTATTTAATATTGATATTAATTAACTAATTTATGCAAAACTTTGAGGTATAAATAATATCTACCTGTGCCAGTTATAATATCTCCTTTCTATAACACTTTCACAACAATGGACAACTTACAAGATTCACTACACAAGATGACAGAGGTTTTCAACACTAAGATGGCTAGCTTCCGTGATGATCTGAAGAAGGTTGACACGCCAGTTACTGTTGCTTCACTAGCTGCCGAATTTGCAGCATTTCAATCCTTCATCACTGGAACCTTGGGCAACTTACAGCAGCAGGTGGAATTGGTGGCTAAGCAAATGGACCACTTTGAAATGCGGAGCCGCCGTAAAATACTCTTGTTGCATGGAGTTCAGGAGCATAGCGGTGGTAATTCCATTCAAGATGTGGTGAGTGTTGTAACCGAAAAACTAAAAATCTCCAACTTCTCAGCGAACGATATCAGCAGAAGCCATCGGGTGGGCCACCAAATTGTTACTGACAAGCCACGACCTATTCTTGTTAAGCTTCATGATCAAGCATTGAGGAACAAAATCTGGTTCGCCAAAACTGCACTCAGAAACAGTGGAATCACTATATCTGAGTTTCTCACAAAAGTAAGGCACGATGCGTTCATGGTTGCACGGCGTCATTTTGGGATTAAAAAGTGCTGGACCCGGGATGGCTTTGTGGTGGTTGTGGGAGTAGATGGCACGAAGCACAGAGTTAGCACATCTGCGGAGGTTTATAAACTCATTAACTCCTCGCCGTCTGTTACCGGCGATGCATCCAAAGCAAGTAGTGTCTCAACTATCCCCAAGGCATCTGCTGCAACTACTTCTCGACCTAAACGCATGGCAAAGAAATAGACTAATTCGCTACCACTGTGTTATTATTATAGTGTTATGTCCTTCTGCAGTTATTATAAGTATGCATGTATTAAACTTAAGGTTATTTAGTTCAGTGTAATATTTAAATGTGTATCTCGTCATTAGTAGGTACCCTTAAAATGTCTATATTTTTAAGTCTTCTCGTTCCAACCCACTATTATTTTATAATGCAACTCACTGTAAACTTTCTTATTTTTACATTTTACCGACTTATGTTTTAACATTTTATTTACTTTTATTTTGATTTTTGGTTGTCTATTAATATATTTGACGTGTGACGTTTAATGTCTAATTAACTCCACAGAGTAGACAAACTTGCCAGAGAGAGTATACAATGTCATTCACTTGTCATCTTTATATATTTTTCTTTTTTTATTATTACGGCACTGGATACTTCAAATGTGACATCGTATTAATTATGTGTATACAATTTGTTAGATTCCTAAGAATCTATGCTTATATATAAATGTTTAATTAATTTGTTACTTTTTGGACTATATTCTCTTTGTATATTAATTTGTAAGGAATATATTGTGATTATTATTGTATTAACTCTAATTTAAACTGGCGCGGGTGGATATAGGCTTGCATATATATATATATATATATTTTTTTTTTTTTTTTTCTTAATATAAGCGCGTATATATTTGTATATATTATTATTTTATATTTTAATATAATATAACACACGGTTTTTCCTAATATGCTAGATGATAGTTTCCATTCTATCTCTTCTACGTCTTCTTCAAATAATAGTTTTCATAGTATTCCAATTCCCTTACATGAAACATTACATGCTGAGTTCTCTGATGTACCTAAAAATTTTAACATAGTTCATATCAATGCTCAAAGTATTCCGGCTCATTTCTCGGATATGTTGGCAACATTTGACGTTAGTAACATTCATGTTATTCTTGTTTCCGAGTCTTGGCTGAAACCCTGTTTGCCTTCCATGAGCTATTCTCTACCAGGTTTTGTGCTATTGCGTAATGACCGTATAGGTAAGGGTGGTGGTGGTGTTGCAATCTACCTTCGTTCCCAAATCCCTTACAAAGTAGTATTCTCTTCCCATAGTTCGAATCCTTCCCTCGAAGCCGAGCACTTATTTGCTGAAGTTACTCTCTCCCATACGAAAATCCTTATTGGGGTTTTTTATAGTCCCTCTTCCTCTATCAACTATTTCTCTTCATTAGAAAACCTGCTTGAAGATTTGATCCCTTCTTACGAACATACTATTATTATGGGTGACTTCAATACCTGTATGCTGAATAACGACCATCGCAGCAATTCACTTAGAACTGTAGCTAATGCTTGCGACATGTACATTTTGCCACTACAAGCTACTCATTTCTTTCCCCACTCCAGTCCTTCTCTCCTTGACCTAATTATGGTATCACGTCCTGATTTTGTTGAGAAACACGGCCAATGCTCTGCAGATGCCTTCTCTTATCACGACCTTATCTTCCTCTCCTATAAAATCCGTCCTCCTAAGCGCAAGCACAAAGTTCTTTTGCAACGTAATTTTGGTGCCATCGACCATGAATCCTTGCGTAGAGATGCTTTGGTTTCTAATTGGGCGTCTATCGATGAAGCGACTTCAGTCAATGAGCAAGTTACATTATTCAACTCAATTATTACTGAATTGTATGACCATCATGCTCCTATACGACCAGTTCGAGTCAAACACTTACCTGCGCCATGGCTGACAGATGAAATAAAAACTTTGCAAGCCAAAAAAAATAGAGCAAAGGCAAAATTTAAATCAAATCCCGATGTATTCCGTGATGAGTATATTAGAGCTAGGAATCACTGCAATAAGGTGTGTAGAGAGGCACAACGTCGCCACATTCACAAATGTATAGAAAATTGTAATTCCTCCAAAGTCTGGAAATTCTTGAAGTCTCTTGGGGTTGGTAAAAATAATTACACTAACTCCTTTGATTTAGATACCAATAACCTTAATAGGCATTTCTCTACTTCAGTTGCAATTGATAGCAATACTAAAAAGAACACTCTAAACTATCTTTCTACCATACCAACCCCAGATTATTCCTCATTTTCTTTCAGTTTAGTTACGAATTGTGATGTTGAGAAGAGCTTACTTTCAATCTCTTCCGATGCCGTTGGTACGGATAATATTAGTCGTGCTATGATCCTTCCCATTCTAGATATTGTCCTTCCTATTATCACCAAAATTTTCAATGTTTCCTTATCCTTAGGTGTGTTTCCTTCCGTCTGGAAAGATGCTCATATTATTCCACTTCCCCAAAAGTCTAACCCGAGCTCCTTTTCAGATTATCGTCCAATATCCATTCTCCCTTTCCTCTCTAAAGCTATGGAGCGTCTTGTCCAAATTCAATTAAGTACCTTCCTTTCTAAAAATGGTCTCGTAAACTCTCTTCAATCCGGTTTCCGTCCTGGTCATAGTACGACTACTGCCCTTGTAAAAATTACAGACGATATTCGTTACGGCATGGAGAACTCCCAGCTTACTGTCCTTACATTACTAGATCTAAGTAATGCTTTCAACACAGTTGACTTCGATATTCTGCTGGGACTGATGCGTTCTCTCAACATATCTCCAATCGTAACTAAATGGTTTCAAACATACCTGTATGGGCGCCGGCAACGCATTCGAATAGACAATCATTTGTCCCAGTGGTGCCATACCTCAGCCGGCGTCCCTCAGGGTGGCGTCTTATCTCCATTACTTTTTTCGCTATTTATTAACTCCATTACTCTCGAACTTCATTCCTCATACCACCTTTACGCAGATGATCTCCAACTATATACACAAGCTCCATTACATAACATCACCTCTGCCATCACTAAAATCAACGATGATTTAGCAACCATTTCAAACTGGTGCAAATCGTACGGATTAATCGTGAATCCTTTAAAAACGCAAGCTATTATAATTGGCAGCCCCTTTTATATCGCCAGAATAAATAGGAACCTTCTTCCGCGCATTGTCTTCAATGGTGAACTCATAGCCTACAGTGACAGTGTGAAAAACCTAGGAATTTACTTTGATCAGACACTATCATGGTCGACTCAAATTATGGAACTTAGTAAAAAGGTTTTTAGTGTCGCTGGTTCATTAAAACGGTTACGTAATTTCTTGCCTTTCGACACCAAGGTTACGCTTGCAAACACCCTATTACTTCCTATTCTGGATTATGCAGATACTTGCTATCTAAACCTCACCGAAGCCCAGTTGAACAAACTTGAGCGTCTTCAAAACGTCTGCATTAGATTCATATTTGGTTTACGTAAATACGACCGCATTTCACAATTCCGTACTCAGCTCAAGTGGCTCCCAGTTCGTTCTCGCCGAGATTGGCATACTCTCTCTTTACTCTATTCTATCCTTTTTAACCCTATTACTCCATTATACCTTAAAGAATCTTTCACATTTCTCGGTGAGGTGCAGAATAGTGGTCTGCGAAGTGCAGATAACCTCCTGTTAAAAACTCCCACCCATACCTCTAGTTACTATTCCAAATCCTTCTCTGTACAGGCTGTGCGCCTTTGGAACTCGCTACCGCCCTCCATACGTAATGCTCAATCCTCAGCCATCTTTAAGAACTTAGTTAAATCTCACTTTCTCTCCCCGTAAATACTCTTATGTTCACTTCTTTTCCACTTCTATTGCTTCTTACATTTAGTATAGTGTGTTATTTGTGTAATATTTATATGTATGTATAATTTTTATGTGTATGTATGTATTTATTAATTTTAATTTATTTAAGTAAGTTTATATATATATATTATATTTTGTTACCTTATTTCCACTCACGTGCCGCCTACTTTATTTTTATTTATACTCTCTTTCATAAGGTTGTCTGGAAGAGATTGCGTTAGCGATAAGACCGCCTTCTGTACCTTCTTCTTTCTTTAATGTATTGTTATATATTATTTTCTTTTTATGTATCTACTTTTTATATTGGTGCAATAAAGAATTATAAATAAAAAATTGATATTTTTTATTCTACTACCCCCAGAAAGCACTATATTTTAAACAATTATGCGCGCGAACTGACCACTTGTCTGTGAGGACTTATTATCAGATATCTGATAGGACCCGGGTAGTTAGTTGGTTTTGACAACAAAGACCTAGAACTATTGTCAAATTCCTATTCCTTCTACATTTCTATTTATATTTCTTAGAGAATTACGCGAATATTAATTTAATTATGTCTAGTTATATATTACTAGCGGATCCGCACGTTGTTATGCCATTCAAATTAAAATGGCTTTTAAAAAATAAGGGTCGATGGTAGAAGTGTGAAATTTTAGGGATGTATGTATTTTTAATGCCACATTATAAAAAAATATTATAACCAAAAATAGAAAAAAAAATATTTCCATTATATTTTTTGGTTGTAGTTGTACAATTAAGTTATGTAAATGATATAATTAGTTAATAATGAAAGATGATATATTTAGGTAATATTATATTATCTGTGATTTAGAGTATTTAACAAAAATCTACTTTTCTTATCAATTCCAATATACTGAAAGATCTAATAATTATATATTATTTTGAAAAAAAATAGGGTTGGACCACTCTTATCATTTAGGGGTATGAAAAATAGATAGTAGCCGATTCTCAGACCTACTGAAATAAAATTTCATAAAAATCGATCGAGCAGTTTGGGAGGAGTATGGTAACTAACATTGTGACACGAGAATTTTATATATATAAGATTATATGTGGGTAGATATTATAATATTAAGACGAGAAGCAAAAACTTTGTACCCCCTTTTACAAGAACGGTTTCCTTTGCCTTCGTAAGGCACATGTAAGACGTAATAACAGACAGACAGACAGACGCTTTCTTACGATAGCGGCAACAACCTACATTTTATTCCATTATTAAGACAGTATTTACAGCAAATCATGACAACAGATAGAGTATAACAGTAAATATTTTATCATTGCATTGCACTCTAGTGAAAGTAGCAGAATGTACAAAATAATAACAGCTACTCGGTACATTTTGCTTAATTACATTTTCTGTGATGCAAGATACGCTTAATATTCCTATTGCATGCATACTAATAATTATCTCAAGACAAT